CAGACACAGTCTCTATGGGGTACTGGGAGCGTTGGGTGGGTAGCAGCTGCAAGGAGACAGCAGAGAGGCGTGTAAGACTGTAACCCTGCATCCTGGACTCAACTCTGGGTTGTCATAATTTAGGTTGTAAAACAAACTTGCCCAGATTTCTAGATAAGAGAGCCGCACCACCCAAAGTGGGATGGATGCCGTCTCTGCTAATCAGACCAGGTTTTCCCCATAATGTTTTCCAGTTGTCTATGAAGCTCACGTTATTTTCTGGGCACCACCTAGACAGCCAGCAGTTGAATGACGACATGCGGCTAAACTGGTCACATTGGGTAGGGGTCCAGAGAATGGTGTGGATGTCCATGTCACCCCCCTAGATCCCAGCTATACAGGCCAGGCAGCCTCTCTATGGGTGCGAGTTCAGTTAAGATGAGAAAAAATAAGAGTAAATTAAAAGTAATATCAGCTATCTCTTTAGACCATGATATTTTGCCACAGCAGTTCATCTCTCAACCACACAATATCTGGTCTGTACAAGTCCCCAGGTACTTTAATAACTTGTGCTTTTCATTAGAACAGTCACTCTGTTTAATTGTTCAGTAATGGTATCTTAATTCATACATAGACCCAGCTGCTCATGGGGTTCACAAACAAGCACAAGTGGATATAGTGGGTACACACACACACACACACATCCATATCCCAAAGTGTTTTGCCAGCCAAAATAAACAGGCTTTTCTGCTGGCGGTGCTTCCAGTCGTTGTGCTCCTCTTTGTGATAAATGGTTTCACTCTCTCCCCTGTGTGTCTTTGAAGAGCAGGCTTGTATGAAATGCAAAACCGGCCAACGCTCCTTAACTCAACGCATCATGGTTATTGCTAAGCCCCACTATCAAGGGCCCACGGTTGTGCGTGTGAGTGCGGGCATGTGTATGTGAACTTGTAAACGTGTGTAAGAGGGTCTGTTTATGTATAAGGGAGAATGTCTGGATATGACTGTTTCCATGCACTTTTGTCTCTGCCCAACTGTGTGTGTTGTAAGAGTTTCTTTGTGTCTGTGCGTGTGTGTGCGCCATCAAGGACTAAGCTGGTATTTAATTCTCTAATTCAGTGCCAAGTTGATTAAAACAAACTGCTGCAGCTCCTTGTATTTTTCACTCTCCTTCTTACAAGACCTACTTTCATTTTTTTCGGCCCTTGTTTGTTTGGTTGCTCCCACAGGTATTTTTCAGAAATGAGATTTGATTATGGCAATTTATTACCGCCAAGCTGATACTTTGAGCAGAGCAATGGCAGGCATGCTTCAGAAGGACAGAATTGCAATGTGCACGCAGAGACACGGACACACACACACACACACACACACACACTCATAACAAGGTGCCAGAGTGCAGTGTGTACATAATAGTGTTTGAAATGGTGATGCATGAGCCTGTTAACCAGCTGGCTACTGATAAAAGGGCTGGGCCATGTCCTGAAAACACACACGCATAAGCACACTTTCCCGCGTGTGCACATGCACATCCCATCAAAAAATTACCTCTTTTCTGTTCTGATTTAATATCCTGTAACATATTCTGTTCTCACTTTTCTTACCTCTTCTTTCTGATCTTCTCTGCTGTTGCTGTTGTGTTTGTCGGACCTTGCATTTAAATGTCAAGAGACTAGATGCAAAAATATGATTTGCAAATTCCAGCGTGTTCAGCTCGGTGTCTAAAATGTAAATAGAAAATACAATGATTTTTATAATGGGTGTGATATTTTTATAAACTGTGTAGCTTTATTGGAAAAATATATTACCACATTGTTAGGGTTGTAAGTATTCTGTTAGCCTTCATATTTGTCACCAACACACTCATGAATGCACACCTCTACACACACACACGTGCACCTACATGGCCATATTTTCACTGTACTATTATGAAATATGATCTATGAAGAGAAATACATTCATATCTATAAAATCATTAAAGTGGGCAGACCAGGGGAAATGCCAAGTGTCTGCCGCTAACCGAGTAGGTCACATGTAGTCGTGTGCACTAACACACATATACTCATGAATGTATGTGTGCACACATTTACACACACGCACGTTCACACCCATCCACATACTCACTCCCTCATAAACGGCTGTGGTGGCTGCGTTGCCCCCAGGCATCCATTTAGGGACAGATTGCCTGTCATGGAATACGTATGGCATATTCAAATAAGGCCTGCCCGCACACACCGCATATCACAGTGTACCTGGTCTCACAGCCAACTCAGCCATAAAGCGTCCTGCAGTACGGAGTTGGTGTTTATTACAACAATTATAAACAGGAAAAAAAGATTGGTAAATAATTTCTTCAATGTCAGAAAAAATGCTGAGCTGACAGACATAGACCTAAATTTTAGATAAATTGATGCAAAATGAATAAAGGGAGTAATAACCCAACAGAATGTGTTAATTGATTAATTTTACATGCTTTACTGCACAGTTCTTTGGGAGTGCAAATGTTAAGAGAGGCATGGAAGACCTTAATGTTTAGTTCTGTTCAATTTTTACAAAGTGAATCTTGTACAACCTGCTTATAATGAGTCACTAAAAAGGTCATTTGGCAGAAAACAGAAAATATGTTCTTCTTTAAGCACTTTAAAGCCAAGCTTTGTAAGCAGAACTCACCTTTTATTGTTTCTAACCTAGATGGTAATTTAGCATAATTTTCATGTTCCTCTGTCCGTCTTTCCATCTTTCCATCACTCCGTCTCCTATTTTCCTTCCATTATTTTCTTGTATTTGCTTAATTTATTTATTTTCTTGCTCAGTAAAATTAAGTGTTTGGCCTAAGGTGAGTGATCCATCATATGCAGAGGGCCCGGCCCTAATGATGGCAGTTTTATAGACTCACCCACGAATTTCCCTCATGCTCTCTCTGACACACACACACACACACACACACACAACTTCAAAGAAGGCAAACACTAGCATCAGTTTAAGATTTTTATTTCTACTTCCTTTGTTTCTCTCAGATGGGCTACTCTGCCCTCGCCTCAGCATTTATCTAAATGCAATTTCTCTGTCTCTCTTTCTCATGCCGTTTGTCGAGGTCTTTCCTGTGATCGCTGTGAGTTTGGTTATTGGAACCTGTCCCACCCGGATGGCTGTGTCCCATGTGACTGCGACCTCTTGGGTTCCCTCGGCCAGTTCTGTGAGCCTGACAGTGGGCAGTGCGAGTGTAGGCCCGGGGTAGCAGGGCAGAGGTGCGACTCATGCAGCAGCGGGTCGTATGGCTTGACACGGGAGGGATCTTGTGCTCCCTGCAACTGCTCACTAGAGGGGACTGTACCTGGGACAGACTGCGACACTCACACTGGACAGTGTGTGTGTAAGGCAAGTTAAGGAGTATGACTATTTTTTTAATTTGACAGTTGTATTATTACTGTTCAAAGTTAATTCTTGTTGACTCAACAATCTCAGTCATTAATTGTATATGTTTATATTTCATTTTTTTCTGATATTTTTAAGTACTAGACTGGAGTGTGGATCAGGGTGGATACTGATGTTTTATAAATGTAGCAATGATATCAAATACTGTTGTATAACCTCATACTTATTATATTAAGTCATCTTGCTAAATCCAGTACTTTCTAAAAGCCTGAAGCTAATTCACATCCCATGACGTCTTTCACAAGTGTCTGCTGTGGAACCCAGAGCACTTTACACTTCCTGTTTGTCCCATATTTGTCAAGCAGAGGTGGTTATTGTGTGTCTTTTCTGTATTGTGTATCAGGAAGCCGTAGGTTTTACACATAGTATTACCTTTGTTTGTTGATTTATGAAGTTAATTGTATTGCTAGGCATTATGGGTCCTTTCTTGTTACACACGGTTCAATAAATGCCCAGAAAGGGGGTGAACAGGTCTCTGTTTCACATGTACATCTAAAGGCCAAAATAACTGAGATCTGCATCTGATCAGGAGAGCTGACAGATTCAGTGGCAGAGTCAGCAGGTAACAAACAGGCTTGTCACTGTGGCAAAAACTATGAGAACATTGCCTTTTTTTTCTTAGGTAAGGAGTCAGTTAAGTGACTGGCCAGTTCAACACCTTCTTGGCCCCAGGCTATGTTTGTGAAACGCTGGTGCGATGACAGCGGCCAGGATAGAACTGGAGTCACTACTACTTCACATCCTTCAGTCGTATCTGTTATACCTCTTTTCATTCCTTCTCATTTCTTTTACAGGAACATGTAGAAGGCCATCGCTGTGACTCTTGTCAAGTTGGTTACCACACCCTGCAGCATCACAACTCCCTGGGGTGTCTGCCTTGTGCTTGTGACATCAGCGGCACTGTGCCAGAGGGTGTTTGTGATATGTGGACTGGACAGTGCCCGTGCAGAGAGGGGGTAGAGGGAGCAAAGTGTACCAGCTGTGCACACAACTACTACAACAGGAGTTTAGACCTCCAGAGTAAGAGAACACCAAGCTGAAGCCAAAGTTGTCTCTAAGAGTAGTTAGTTCAATGTGTTTTACAAAGATCAAGTTGTTCAGAAACTTTAACAAATAATGTGCTCATTCAGGTTATTTTGTTTTTGGTCTGTGAAAATTTTGTGTTGAGAAAAAGTTTAAATCGCTTTTGGTTTCTGATGTTGTTTTGTGTCCTGTCAGGGGGGTTGTCCCAGGGCTGTGTACCATGTGTTTGTGACCCCAGAGGAACAGTGCTGGGGACAGTCTGTGACGGCACTACAGGACAATGTGTTTGTGTCCCCACACACTATGGAAAGGACTGCGGTAGCTGCAGATCCGGTGAGTTTAGGGCTGGGCAGTATGGATCAAAAATCATATCTCAAAATTTTCAGGCTGACTGGTGATACACAATATATACAGTCTTATGCAAAAGTTTAGGCACCCCTTGATAAATAACAGATTTTGGTGATTTTTTATTTGAACAGATGTTAACACAGTTTCTCTTGGAAATGGAAAAAATGCACAATATTTTCCGCAAACAGTGATGCATAGTTACTTCTTATGCCATAAATTGAACAAAAATAAAAAATAAAAACATTATTATGGCATGGTGCAAAAGTTTGGGCACCCTACACAATCAGTACTTAGTAACACCTCCTCTGGCAGATATCACAGCTTGCAAACGCTTTTCATAGCCAGCTAAAAGTCTTTCAATTCTTGTACTTGGGATCTTCTCCCATTCTTCCTTGCAAAAGGCTTCTAGTTCTGTAATATTCTTTGGTCGTCTTGCATGCACAGCTCTTTTAAGATCTACCCACAAATTTTCAATGATGTTTAAATCAGGGGACTGTGATGGCCATTCCAAAACCTTCAGCCTGCGTCTCTTGAGGTATTCCATAGTGGATTTCGAGGTATGTTTAGGATCATTGTCCTGTTGTAGAAGCCATCCTCTTTTCAGCTTCAGCTTTTTTACAGATGGTGTGATGTTTGCTTCCAGAATTTGCTGGTATTTAGTGGAATCCATTCTTCCCTCCACCCGTGCAATGTTTCCTGTGCCACTGGCTGCAACACAACCCCAGAGCATGATAGATCCACCCCCATGCTTAATAGTTGGCAAGGTGTTCTTTTCATGAAATGCTGCTCCTTTTTTTCTCCAAACATGCCTTTGCTGATTGTGTCCAAAGAGTTCTATTTTAACTTCATCAGTCCACAGCACTTGTTTCCAAAACGCATCGGGCTTCTGTAGATGTCCTGTTGCATACTTCAGACGTTGGATTTTATGATGGGGACGCAGATAAGGTTTTCTTCTGCTGACTCTTCCATGAAGGCCTTGTCTGTGCAAGCATCGCTGCACAGTGGAACGGTGCACCACCACTCCTGAGTCTGCTAAATCTTCCTGCAGGTTTTTTGCAGTCAAATGGGGGTTTTGATTTGTCTTTCTGACCAGCATACGAGCAGTTCTGTCCGAGAGTTTTCTTGGTCTTCCAGATCTCATCTTGACCTCCACAGTTCCCCTGATCTGCCATCTCTTAATTACATTTCTTACTGTGGAAACTGCAAGCTGACAACGCTTTGCTATCTTCTTGTAGCCTTCTCCTGCATTGTGGGCGTCAATAACTTTCATTTTCAGGGTCTTACACAGCTGCTTAGAGGAACCCATGGTTGCTGGGTGTCCACAAGTGTGTGCACAAGGTTTGAAGAGTCAAAGTATTTGTACAGCTTTGAAATTGGCATTTACCAATGACAGCTGTTGCTGTGCATCAGATCTAACGAGCTGATTAAGGTCTGATACCTTGTGAGAGACTTTGAGACTCTGGAACTCTTAGGGTGCCCAAACTTTTGCACCATGCCATAATAATGTTTTTATTTTTTATTTTTGTTCAATTTATGGCATAAGAAGTAACTATGCATCACTGTTTGCTGAAAATATTGTGCATTTTTTCCATTTCCAAGAGAAACTGTGTTAACATCTGTTCAAATAAAAAATCACCAAAATCTGTTATTTATCAAGGGGTGCCTAAACTTTTGCATAAGACTGTATATATACCTGCACTTTTATATCTTACAAACTGGATATATGACCCAGCCCTAGGTGAGTTGGGATATCAAAGAGATGGGTGGATGTTAAATGGATGGAACAGGAAATTTAAGGACACATCCAGTGATTGTGACTGGTCTCAACAACAGCATGATAGTGAAAATTACTTTTCTTCACTTATCTGGTTTTGATTTTGTGTGTGTGCACAGTATTGTTAATTTCTGTGTAAGTGTGTCACCTCTGCTAAATAGTGTATCTAATATGTTTATTAATTGCCAGAAAATAAACCAAACTGATCCAGAATTTATGACATAACCTTACACACACATACTGGCTTTGTGTTCAATTTGATTATAAACAAATGACAAACAACACCTCATAATGCTTATTAGGAGATACAGTACATAAAATGATTCAGACTGTGCCCAAAATCAGTCATTAAATGTGAGAATTTGCCCACCTCAGCCCAGACATAAAACAGATGTGAGGTGTGTTGTAAGAAGTCAGCACATGGATTTGACATTTTAAAGGTGTAGAAATTAAAGGCAATAGCGAAGGAAGGAGGAAGAGACAGTAGCAAAGAAGGAAGAAGTGACCAACTGTACTTGTAAACAGAGGAAACGATTAATAAAGTGATAGACAAGCAATCGGATTTTTACTTTGTTTGTGTCTGTTCAGGTTTTTACCTCTCTCCAGATCAGAATGTGTGTGTGGAGTGTGACTGCCATTCCATGGGAGCGTTGCAGCATAGGTGCGAGAGGCATACCGGAAAGTGTGCGTGTGCCCATCCTTCAGTGGGAGGGCGACGATGTGACCAGTGTCGTGACATGTTCTTCAGATTCAGCCCTGGTCTGGGCAGGTAACCAACATAAAGTCAGTCACACACACATATTGAATACAATAACAGGAGGTTTTACATGCTGTAAGGCCTTTATCAATTAACACACTCGCACACATGCAGCTGTACATACTGTATGAGCACACACACAACAGGTGCTGTCTGTGCAAGGACGGTTTAGCGATAGGTAGGCAGATGTATGACTTGGATGAGTTAAGAGCTGGTTTGACCTTTGCTGCTTATGTCTCTACCTGCAGGCTATCTCACACAGTAACACACACACCTGCACACACATTACTGTACAGGTTACACACACTCTCTCTCTCTCTCTCTCACACACACACACACAGGTTCCTCTCAATAGGGTGTCATAACAGATAGATGTTCCACAAACAGTTTGACGAGTGGTCCACTTTGTGTGTGTGTGTGTGTGTGTGTGTGTGTGTGTGTGTGTGTGTGTGTGTGTGTGCGCACCTCAGTGTAGAACTGGGTCAGAGAATTGCTGACCACACCTCCCTGCATCACAGGGAAATATGATGGTAATTCTGTATGGAGGGATTAAATACTGGCACATACACACATTCATTAGACTTTTCTAACAAGAGATTACGTATGTAGTATCTGGATACTCTAAAACCTACAATAAAATTTTATTGGAAAACAGAATTTTTCATTTTTAAATGTATGACTGAACATGTTATGATATTATGTTTATTGGCAGACAACTTGCTTTATGTCACTGCTTTTCTGATTAAGTTTATCATTATTTGCTGTTATGTGTCAGTAAATATTGGCAAATTCTCTTTGAGGTTGATGAAAAAAGGCAATGCTGGTGTTTTCCTTCTCCTTGGGAATGGAGTGAAGGTCGAGTCACTGTGGTATTTGTGTGTGTGCGCATGTGAGCGCCAGTTGATAGGACAAATTTGTGGTTCATTGTGAGGCTGTGGCTTTTCACACACCAATAAAGAAGGTGTAGTGGTGTGTGAGGGAGAGAGATGAGATGTGAGGGAGAGCATGTGAGTACAGCATGTGGCAGAAAAAAAAAACACATGGATTGTGTGTGTGTGCATGTAAAGGTGTGAGGTGGCTGCCCAGCCCCAGTGAGGGTAACACCACACTGCTGACCCAGAAACGTACTGTACACCATCAGACACAAACACACAGTCAAGTTTCCATCACTTCAGAGGACTTTACATTGATTTACATTTACAGTATTTCTTGGAGACTCACCCACCACCTTCCTAAACCTATCTTTAGCCCAAGTTTGACATCATTCTAACCAAGTCTTCACAGTTTCCAAATCATGACTGATTAGCTAACTGAATAACTTGCATCCAACCATTATCTAAAACACTTATACCTGAATAGGGGCGCAGTGGGGCTGGAGCCAGTCCCAGCTGACACTGGGAAAGAGGCAGGGTCCACACTGTACAGGTCACCAATCTATCACAGGACTGATATGTAGATAAACAACCACACACACTCACTCCTACGGGCAATTTTGTCACCAACCAACCTAAGCTGCATGTCTTTGGACTGTGGGATGAAGCCAGAGTACCCGTAGAGAACCCACTCAGGCACAGGGAGAACATGCAGACTCCACACAGAAAGGCCCTGGGTTGGCCGGGGCTTGAACCCAGAACCTTCTTCCTGTGAGGCAACAGTGCTAGTCACTGCTCCAACATGCCGCTCTGAATATGCCTTCAATCTAATATATATTTTTTATATATTCTATAGTGTTGGCAGTACTTTCTGTGTCAAAAGGTACAGTTATGACGATTTTAAGGTTTTCACTATTATTTTTAACTAACAGGGTATAGTCATGAATGAAAATTGTGCACTGTACAAAACATCTTTATGGTCTTTTATTTATTTATTTTTTTTTTGTTTTTGTGCTTACCCAGATGCCAGCCCTGTGCATGTGACCCAGTGGGAAGTGTTAGTGCTTTGTGTCATCCAGACACAGGGGTGTGTGTGTGTAAACTGCTGGTAACTGGAGACAAGTGTGATGTATGTCAACCTGGAGCGAGTCATTTGGATGCTGAGAACCACTTTGGCTGCAGTAAAGGTCTGGTTTACATGTTAATAAACACACACATGGAACACCATTCCACACACTACCTTAAAGGTGCATTAACCAATTTCTTTTCAGTTGCTATAGAGTCTAGTGAAACTCAGAACGGCTTTTTTTCCTAGCAATGATATAAACTACAAATGCCTGGCTTGGACAAACAAAAGAGAGCTACCAGTCTGAAGTTATCAGCTTTATAGCGGCACAGTCATGTCAAGTGATGAGGTTCATGAGACAGTCCCAAAAGAGGCTAACAGAGCACTAACATCACACAAAGCTCACATTTCCCCCAAATTAAAATCACATTCATTCAATCCAAAGGTAAAATCATGACCATGCTAGATTGCTAATGTTGCCAAGGCAAACATGTTAGCTTTAGATGCTAACACATTCAGAAAAAGAACGGCACATCTGAATCACACATCTTAACCCTCTCTGTTAACCCTGGTTGTCACACTTTCTTTGTCCCACTCACTCTATGCAAAAGATGCCACCTCTTCACTCTGGCAGCCACTGGTTCAGACTTTTAGCTGCCCAGAGCTCCTCCATGACTGCCTGTTTGAAATAACTACTCAAAAAACTCTTCTTCTAACCTTGGCTAGGTGGCAGGCGGGGCTAATTTACAGACCGTACTTTGACAGCACAGTGTGGAGAACCTGGAATAACAACAGGAGGCCTTTAGGGCAGCAGAGGGTCATGGAGGGGGTTTAGCTGAGAGACACCACATCCTGTCCCTCTGTCAGTGGGTTTATCAATGTGTAGAATCTTAGTTAATGTACCTTTAAGGATTAGCCAAGATTCATTACAGTGTAACAATGTAAACTTAATTCCCTTCAGTCTGATTTTGGGGGTCTTGCTGGCATATTGCTGTCACTAATAATTCGTACATCAGCACACAATCAGCATCAGCATGCTCTAATTCTAGATGGATGTGTCCCTGTAAGATTAATTAAATTAGTTGTGATTTTTCACTCTGTTTCTGTTTATTTATTTCTTTTCTCTCTGTGCAGCACCTTCTCAGCAGCCTGCCCCTGTAGGATTTGGTCTCAGTTATTCTTCCATTCATCTGTCTTGGCATCCACCGGACGCCCCAAACTCAAACAGACTCCACTACACACTCATCAGGGATGGGCTGTTAGTGCATAGCATCCAAAGTCTCTATCCTTTTGGTAAATATGCAGACAGATTTTCACATTTCCTTCTTTCAGAACCTTTCTGACTTTTTAAAATGCATATTATTATATTAACAAAGATCCCATTTATTTTCCATTTGACTTCTTTTGCCTTCATGCTCTATTTTTTTTGAAGGCCATGAATCATTTGAAGACACCGATTTGTCTCCCTACACCAGTTATTCTTACTGGCTTATAACAGCTAATGTGGCCGGTGAGACAATAAGTGCATCAGTCTCCTACCAGACTTTAGGTGCACCACCTGTAGCAGACCAGCTCCATTTGAATCTTGTGGGACAACCTGGTCCGACCACCGCTAGCTTTACCTGGAGCACGCCGTGTAATGATACAGGCCCGGTGGAAAGGTAAGGAGGGATGAGGAGGAGATGATTTTAGGGTTTAGAGGCAGAGAGGACAGCAGAGAGAGGCGCAGGGTTGGTCTGCAGATTAAGTTCCCATCTTGTGGGTCATTAAAGTTAGAGACAGTTTGTTGTAGCTTTGCTTAGAGTACATTATGTATCATGTAAATTATTCAGGTTACAGCATCACATAACAGCCTGAGGTCACATGCATTAAAATTGATGGATAGGAGCAACTGCAGTGAGTGACCTGCTGAAGTCTTTCTGCGAGGCACAAATGGTTACAAAACATGCTTATTATTGAATTATTTCAAGCAAGAGAGAGTGAGATTACTGACTGTAAAGCACACATAGAGACCAGCCCAGTCAAGTGTCTTGGATAGAGTAGGGAGAAACCATACTGCAAGGCTATGAGAAATCAAGGGATGAGCTCTGTGCACATTTGCTGGAGAGTTAAGATGGAGAAAGGCATAAGGGAAGGGGAAGGAAAGAAATAATCTTTTTTCCTCTCAAAACCAGTTTTTAAGAAATCTGAAATCTTCAGAATATGGAATATGTTATGGATGAGACAAAAGGATCAGTCAAGTTTAAAGGCAAACGGAGAACCCTGGAATATTGACAATGGGTTAGATACACCGGCATTAGTTTTCATGTACTTACTGTATGTTTAAGATTATTTGGGGGACTTTTTGCTTTTAACTGATGGTGTATAGCTGGATGGCAGACAGAAATGAGGGAGCAGAGAGAGGAGGAGGACCTGCAGCTGGTTCTAGACCTCTGAATTTCTGCCAAAGGGCTTTACACGCAATGCGTCTTGGTCCCCTCGACACCCCAGCAATAGTTTTTAACTGAACCACATTACAAAACCCTGTTGTCCACTGGAGTGATAGGCAGCGATAGAGAGTGAAGAAAAAAGGAGTTTATTATGACAGTCTTTTTTCTGCCACAGGTTTGTGTTATCCTCCACTGAGTCATCAAGTGGAGCAGAGCCCCTCATTCACTACACAGGCTTAGCTACAGAAGCTGTGGCAAGTGGTCTAAAGCCCTTCACCCAGTACATTGTAGTACTAGAGGTAGGTAGGGCAAACAGCCATTGCCTTCAGTACCTCCATGTCATGATTCACATTCCCAGGAACAATATAAGAAATGTGAAGCAGCTGTATCTTTATAAGAATACACATTTCAAGCCTGTACAACCTACAAAATGGCAAATTCTTACCCTTGTCCACAGGTGTGCTCCTCTGGGGGGTGCACTTCTTCCCCATCACTGTCTTTTCTGACAGCCTCTTCCCCCCCACAAAACCAGCCTCCACCCAGAGTCAATGCTACGGGACCTCATACACTGCACGCCTCTTGGGGGCCCCCTAGTCAGCCAAACGGTAGGACCTTAAGCATACACACAACCTGCATTTCCACTGTCTGGACCTAATGCACAACTTAAGAAATATAGAAATAATTACTTGTCAGTGTCTGAATGAATAAGTGAAATAATCACACAGCACACATTTTAACTAACATGGACCTCTTGCCTAGCTGTGTGGCTTTTAGGCTTATGTCAGTCAGTATGAGAATCAGCTACCATCACTACACAGACACATACAGAAATACACAGCAAATTGGAACTGCCTTTCGTAAATCCTGAGAGCTTTGTAACGGCTCTAAGACTGTGTCCTACAAAGCCCTGCCTTTTTATTTTCTCTGTGAATCTGTTCCCCTCCCCCTGGCTAGCTCTTTATCATTATTTGTAGTGGTAGATTTTCCTCAAAGCAGCATTGTTGGAAAAAAAATCTACAACTTTCAACATCCTGTTCCCAGTCATGATGAGTATTAACCAGGGCCAGAGTTTCTGAATCTTTTATTATAAGCTGAATTGACACTGGGATGCTGGTTCCATAAAAAGAGAGCTGAGCCAGAGTACAAAGAAAACTACTTTCTTCATTTCATTTCAGAATAACTGTTTAGTGAGGAGTTATTTTGTTGTACTCAGCACCATTAATCTCTTGCACACTCCTTTCTGTACAGGTGTTATCACAGGGTATGAGGTCTTTCTGCATGGACCAATGGAATCACAGAACCTGTCAAGTGCTGCTGTTGACAAAAAAGTGTTTTTCAGCCCTGGTTGGCTGGATCCAAGTGATTCTCCAGAACAGCAGCAAACCAACAGGAGTACCGTGTTACCCCCTGAGAGCAGTGCAGTTATATCAGGTCTCCAGGCGTTTTCCACCTATCAGATGAGAGTGGTGAGCATCAATATGGCAGGAAGTGTCACATCGGGGTGGACCACAGCACGCACTATGGAGGGAGGTGTGTACAGGTCATGATCATGGTGCATCCAAGTTATACATAATAACCATGTGAAATGAATTTAAGATTCACACATCAGTTTAGGTAGGTAGCTGATACTGAGATTTAGGGTTGCAGTGGTGTGCTGGTTTCACAGTGTACCATGGCATGTGTAAGTGTGTGTGAAGGTACAGGCAAGATTGGTTTGGCTGTGCTGTCACGCACCTACAATAAACTTAGCAGCTATTTGGATAATTGTTTAGAGAATTGTGACGGCAAGTCATTTCTGGGTCAAACTCTGTCTCTGGATGGATATATTAAATCATAGAAATAAAAATAAATAATATAATAGAAATAAATATATATTGATGGATATAAAAACATTTTTATTTGTATAGCACAGTATAACCTCCCAAATTTGCCTCAGCAGAAAGGATGTAGTGAACAAGGGAGGAAATAAACCTGGATGAGGGGGAGGGGAACTCATTAAGGTATTTGAATTTCAGAGAGAAGATATGGCTCATTAGGACTAAACCACTGCCTCCAACGTCACTCTAAGCTGTGTGTCTGGATAACAAGCATATGATAACACTGTTTTAGATGTGGAGAGTGTTTGTGCGCATACATGTGCTGTGTTAGAAAGAAATATGACTTTTTCACATCATATTTCACAGCTAAATGCCATAAACGGCACAATAAAAGAATCCTCTCTCTAATCTGTCATGTTGTATCACTCTATAGATGATAGAAACCATAAATCCATTAGTTCACACAATATCCACCAAGTGTTGATTTGTTTTTAATGTATGTTTTCGTGCCTGTTATTTAACCGTAAAAGTTGTTTATTTTAATGTGTTAAATGACAAAGAAAAAATGCACTTAGATGAAAAATGAAATTTGCTGTTGAAGCTCATCTAAACATACGGTATATAAATCTAGACAGAGTGCAACCAGTGATTTGACACACATTTTCTTAGCTGTGTAAACTGATTTACCTGGTTGCTATCTGCCATTGAGACTGTACTGATCACTCTACGTAGTGCAGCTGAAGGCACACAGTAACTGAAGTTGAAGACAAGGCACACTGAAATGCATGAGTGCCCCAATTTCATCTTAAAAACCTTGGGAGTTGAGTATCACTTACTGATGACATACAGCACACTGATGTATGGAACAAATCTCTAAGTTCACTAAGTTGTTTCTTAGCTGTACACATAGAATTTTGACACATTGTCCAAACAGGCAATATTTACAACAAAATTTAAATTCAAATTTAGCTACTTTCTCTCAGCATGGATCAGTTTGGATTAGAAAGTTCAGTTTTGCCAAATCCCATGGCCCCTCCATAATCGTGACACCAAGACTCCGAGGTCTCTTTTCAAAAGCCCCCAACAGAAAACAGTTTGAGAGCTCCAGGTCAGCTCTAACAGCTGTTAACTGTGTGGTCGCAACTGTGGCAGAAAAACAGAAATTGGAAACCAGTGACAAAAACTGTTATGGAAAACCTGGCATCCAAAAAAAAAACAAAAAAACTGATGATTGTCATTGAAAAACATCAGAATTTGAAAGATGTAATATTAAAATTACAATTAGATCAATTTTTCAGTGCAGCTTTTTTCAGTATTAGCCTACTTTTTTCAATGCCGGTACTTTTTTTAAATACAAGTGTTTTGTTGCCAGTGTTTCCTTTTTGTTTTAGTCCAGCTTTTGTTTTCACTGCTAAATTTTTTATTACCAGTGCCAGAGTTTAAAGATCACTAGCTCAGCTACAACACAGCTGTGTAAACAACAGCTACAGTATAACAGATACATTCATTTAAGGGAAAAATGCTGTTTATGTAGAACATGCTCAAAATATTAATATTGCGCAATTAAGATATTCATTAACATATTTAAAGATCTGTTTATTTGGTGGTTTCTACAACAGATGTGTAGTGTCTCAGCAAATAACATGAATATTTATATATGATTTATTAGGATTGAGTTAATGGTTAGTTGATCATTAATTAATACAAAATACTGTGTGATGCATGATGATGCATATATTTCATGTGCATGTTCATGTGCCCATGTTTCCAGTCCCAGAGTTGATGGCTCCTCCAGATGTGTCTGCACTGTCATCCACCAGCCTCAAAGTTACATGGAGCACTGTTGAGGGTCAAGGGGTCATCGCAAGAGGACAGGTTTCAGAATATCGGGTCAACCTGATCACAGAACAGCCCAACAATCCCTATGCTCCTCCAGTGATTAGTCAGGTGAGATGTACATACAGCAGGGCAATGCTCCATCCCTTTTAAAAAAAAAAAAAAAAAAAAGCCGCTCTGCACTCTGTCCAAAATTCTCCCGCTTCCCACTCACATGCTCGGCCCTAACTAAAGGAAGTATTTTGTCACAGCAAATATTAAGTCTTTCTCTTAACTGTTTTAATTTTTCAGGTCTTGCATAGGGTGAGAGCAACATCACAGCCTATTTATATAGTGAAAGGATTGAAGCCTTACAACATGTACAACTTCACTGTTACCCTTTGCACCAGGACAGGCTGCATCACCAGTCTGCCAAGCACAGGACAGACACTGCCAGCAGGTAAAGCAAAAAGATCTGCACACAAATGCATATCAGTGCAGACAAACATAACCAAATGTCCAAATATGTTCATGGGTATTCAAAAGTCAGCGGGTGCTTGAGTGTTGGCAGCACTGCTTGCCTTAACCAGAGGGGATATTCATGATGAGTGGCAGTAAAAACAATTTACTGTTAAGGAGAAAAATGTGGCGTAGTACACACTTCCTGCTGGCCATGAATCAAACACACGAAGTTACAGAAACACACATACAGTGTCTCTCTCTTCTTCAGATTTATAGCCGCTATAGAAGGAGGATGAATTAGCAGTGTTTAATAACTCAGGCACAAATCTCTGGGACTGAGATGAGCACTGACTGATCAGTGCAGGACGACATAGACACAGGATTTTTACTTGTCAATTCCCGCTGACACTACGTTGCTTTTCCACTTTTTCGCTCAGTCCATCCTTCACTTCAGTCTCTACCTGATGTTTTCACTAAAATACAAAATAGCACATGGCATCAGAGAAGCATGAACCAATCTGCAGCATACACATGCACACGCGACCGTCAAACACTTTCCCATCTGTTCACTCACGGTCTCTACTCTTGCTGCTCATTTTGTTTTGTTCGTTCTTTCAGGTGAATAGACAATGGGTGTGCTGAGTGGATGTGGATAAAAACCTTTCATCTATAAATTCTTGCTGGGGGATTTGTGCCTTTGAATGCGCCCTAAACGGCTACATCTGTTAACATAGTGAATATTTTAATTTCATACAATTCTTAAAAAGTCCTTCCTTGTGGTTATTGTGATGAATGAGACTTCACATTGTCATCTATGGACTTTGTAAATGTTTTTTTAATGGCTACATCTGTTGACACAGCAACAGTGTTTATTTCGAGTGATTCCAAAGACTTCTCTCGACTGTAATACAGTACAGTACAATATGGCTTATCGTACCCAGTTGACTTTTTGAATGTATTTTTAACAGCCACATCTGTTGCCGCCATTTTGTTTCATTCAACGCCAAAGCTGTCCCTTGTTTCAAGTATAAGAAATGATAATTGCATATGCCATTTGGCTTTTTTTTTTTTTTTAATCTCATAACAATTTGCATAGCATGTGTGTCTCCACTGGGTGTTGTGCTTCTGTTGTAGCTTCACACCTCATATCACTTTTTTCTAATTTGGTTTAAAACCGTCATCTTGAGAGTTCACAGAAAATATTTAATAACATTTTTAGAACATAATCTGAGAGAAGATACCGGGAGCAGCAGACTCCTTTAGTGTTGTATAAGAGCAGCTTTATACTTCTCCCCTTATAAAATGGCTGTAGCCTATCAACAGCAGGGAACACACGAGTTGTGATTATGAGACAAGAGACAGTTCTTTTTACTTTTGTTTTTGTGACCTTTTACTGTATACTACTAAGCGCAGCCATTCTTTCCCTTCAGAGAGAAATCCAAACAAATCCCAGTTCTTGAACAAAAAAAAGTTATTGTCTGAATAATAATGTGTAAAATGTAAAGTGTAAAATTTACAGAGGTGATCTACAGCATGTTTGGGCCAGTTTGTTGTAAAAATTACCACATTAAGTGGTAACTGTACTTCATGTAGGGTGTACTAGATGTGGTACTGATAACATACAGTAAGGCTGGGCCACTAGAGCCAACTACTGCTGTCAGTGAGCAGAGAGCATCTGCGGAACCGCTGGAGCTAGTCCAAAGCCTGATTAAACACTAGCATGCACACTGAGACAGACATGGCGACACAAAGAAGGAGCTCCGTGTCCGTGTGTGTTGATGCATTTGCAGTTGTTTCAGTGTGTGTGTCTTCCCACAGAGTTATTGATCACGACCTAAAGTGAGTGGCTAATCAGGGGCTGATGGTGATGTTTTATGTATCCTACATCCATAAAGGCTTGTTCTACAAGACGTACACAGAGAGACATGCACGCATACACGTGCACACTGTAACACCACTCAACAGAACAGGAACTTTATTGATTTACACATAATTGGCTGAGGCCCTTCTTGAGGAGAGAAATATGCATGGCAAGGGATCGCCATGTCAATAAGTGGTGTGCTTGTGTGCATGTTGTAACTGTACGCTAAGAGCCTGTTAAGACATGTCATTCGCTGTAAAAACAGAAAACACACGTGCACAATTGCTCCTGGGAGCTGGCCCATGATTTAGCTGCTTCATTACCATGTCGGCAGCTAAAATTAACCTTTCTGGTTGACTGTTAACCTTGTGTGTAGTCTGTGCGTATGTGTGTGTCTGAGCACAGCCATGATAAAGCAAGTGTAGTGTTAAGTAAATTTAAGTGAGTTAACTAGCAGATACAGCAGTTGAATACACACAAAGAACACACAAAAGCACAGTAGAGTCCCACCGCTCGCTCTGGAGAAAAGCTGTCTCGTATGACACAACACGCAAACACACACACATCCTTCTGTCCTTATACTCTACATAAAAACACAGTTTCCCTGTTAGATGTCACCCAGGGTCACCCAATTCACTGAGGTCAGTCCAGTTTGATCCAACCTCAAACCCAGCCGAGCGTGATTTCCTGTATCTTGCCACTGGGTTTCACTCAGAAGCCTGGGCTTGTGTTCCGTCAAGTACAAATGCTGCACAGTTCACGTGTTCATGAGGTAAAGCTTTCCTATAGACTGTCACATGCTACTACTTCCCATTTAGAGGAACAACACCACACCACTTTGTCTAGTGAGTACTGAGACAAAGTTAAGATTTAAAATAATGGAATTTATAAATAAAATGTAGTTGGCTACTGTAATAAAACATTTAGTATTTTTACAGACCTGCCTCTTTCCTAACCATCTGCCCCTAATACCAAAAAGAATCATTGGTTCCAGCCCATCATACACCACCATTTAAGGTGCATGTCGGTGGGTGTCCCAAGTGTCGGCATAGCTCAAACTGAATAGACTGGTAAGCTATTGATTGGCAATAATTTATGGTTTAATCTGCCAAGATGAGCCACCTAAGACAAGCTGTCTACTTACCTTTTAAGAGCTCTGTTAGAGCTCACACTAAAGATGGTTCGCATGTGTGTCACTGAGACCTAATTTACTCCTTCACAGGCCATTTAGACCACACATATACACAGAAACACAGTGACAGAATGACACTTAATGCGCACACATCTTTCTCATTTTTGTACCAGTCCATCACTTGTTATGTGTCTCTCTCTCCATTCTTAATGTCTACTCTCACCACATCAGTCAGTCTCTGGCTGATTTATTTATGATACATGTTGAAACTGCATCTCCAGGAGCTCCTAGTGTGTTTCAAAGGGACATTTAATTTAACATCTAAAGTGCAAGAAGGAAATTAAATTGACCCTCTGCTACTGTAAATGAAAATGGGATTTTTGTCCACTCTGGACATATAGTAAGTGCTGTATGAGACACATGAAGGAAGACGCGTTTCTGTTAAATTAAAACATCAAGATCAGAAAATCATTTTATTCATGATTACAGCCACAATATTAGAATGTTTTTAAATGTGTTAGCTATGGTACGTAGCCGAAATGATATGTGCTCACACTTTAGATACGTTTAACAAACACTTGTAAAAGTAAAATGGCAGCTCACAGATACACTTTTGAAAAATCCATATTATCAAAGTCTGATTACATTATTAAGAAAGTTCTCACTGGGACAGAGTTTATGTCCAGTCTCCCTCTTTTGACCTTTCTCTTCTCAGCTCCCACAGGACTGTCTCCACCGCAGTTGCATCCAGTAAATGAAACCACCATTCAGATAGACTGGGACACCCCAGCCCAACTCAATGGGCCACACCCACTGTATCAGGTCTGTTACATTCACATTACCTGCTGAAGTGACCCGCATCAGTTTTTTCCCCTCTCCGTACACCTTTTAACAGTTGTATGAACAAACCAAATCAAAATTTTTTCCCCAAATCAGATCTGGGCCACTTCCCTAAGTGCTCCTAGATTCAATTCTGATCCTATCCCTGACCATATGAACGCTGTCTGAAAGGTCAAATCGGATTACATGGTTGTTTTAACATGTCCCTTCTCTGCACATATCACCTGTCATCATTTAATGCTGGCCCCCCACAGACTGGTAAAAATAAACCTGGAGGAGAGCGACGACAGCAATGAGGGTCACCAGAAAGATGAGTCGAACATTTATAGAGAAGCTTCTGATCAAGCCAAACTGGAAGGAACATGTTGTAACCGAGCGGTTTTAATGCAAGTTGACCATCAAACAAATGATGTTACTGTTATTCTTCCTCACATTTCAGGCGTGGCAGCTTAGGACATCAGCGATGTTCACACTGAAGCTGAGTGTGACCCATCAAGACAAAATTATTGGGTCTGACCAAAAGACTAGAAGCATGAAGGCAATGCCGGTCTGTCAGCTGGTCTGTCACTTTGGGCCACACTGAATTATTACAACCACTACCAGATGGATCGCTATGAACCTTTTTACACTCATTCATCGCGCTCAGAGGATAACTCTTTATATCTTTTCTGACTTTTCCTGTAGTGTCACTAGCAGGTTAAAGTTTTTACTGAGGCAAATTTGTGATGTTGTGCTATATAGAGTAAATAAAATGTGACTTGACTTCAGAATATCTCAGTGAAAACATCTTATCATGCTGATGTTAGAGAAAGTCGTATCGTCCCATCCCTACCGTTTGCAGTTATCCACAATTCATGACTGAAGTTTTATTTAACGATATGACAGTGATGTTATCCAGTATATTATTGTTATTTCAGGTGGAGAGGACAGATGTTTCACTTTCCAACCCACAAGAGCCTGTTGTCAGAGGAACCAGATTCCCTGGAAACGGTTACTACCTTTTTCCCAGTGACATCCTTCCAGTCAGTGTGAACTTTGCTGGTAAGAATGCAGATGTCTGTGTGTGGGTTGTGCTGTCAGAAAATGGACAGTATGCCTGAATTGTTGTAAATTTTTGGGTGCGAACACTGTATATACATACCTGTTTTTGCGGTGTACAGTGATCACGCTGCAGTCTCTGTCTTTTAATGAAATCCTTTAGAATGACTTCCACAGTCATCTTAAAGGACAATTATCTTTCTGTTTACCAGCATCATTAAAGGGTTGAGCTGCACAGCCAAACATGTTCTGCTTCATCTGAGAACATCATCCAGTCTGACGCTCATAATTAATGACTGCTGATACTAATCAGTGGGATTTGAGTGGGCATAGCTCATCGATGGCACTTGAGATTACTTCACTGTCCTCCACAAACATCACCAGTTACGTCTCTTGGTGCTGGAGAAATGTTTAAATTTGGGTGGTAATTAAAACCTTTACAAGTCATGTCAAAACTATATGACAACATGTCAAATTAATTTACAAAACCCGTTTGTAAAACTTGCTGCAAATTTCTGATACTTTCTTAGCATAAAGGTTTTCATCAGTAATCCTTATGTAACCGTGCTAAACTGTACTTGATCCAACAAAGTTCTTTGTGCTGGTCTCATAATCTTGTTCCATATGTTTGCCACCCACAAAGTGGGAAACCATGTACTCCCCAAGTTGAAGTCCTAAGTACATGCTCTAAAATATACTTAAAATACACAAGTATAAGTACTGCAGTAAGAAAACAATGTACTTTAAGCAATATAGAATTTGATGCTGTTGATAACATGGTGTGAATCTAGTTTGTTCAACAAAGTTTTAAAGGTATGGAAGCCCGTTTCCGCCAGTACAAAAAAATTTTTTTGATCTACAAAATCATAATTATGAGATAAAAAGTCAAAATTTCAACTAAGTCAAAATTATGAGATAAAGTCAAAATTTCGACTTAGTAAGTTAAAATTATGAAATCAAAAATTTGAAATTTCGACTTAGTTAAGTCAAAATTATGAGATAAAAAGTCAAAATTTCGACTTGGTAAGTCATAATTATGAGATAAAAAGTCAAAATTTCGACTTACCTAAGTCAGAATTATGAGATAAAAAGTCAAAATGTCAACTTACCTAAGTCAGAATTATGAGATAAAAAGTCAAAATGTCAACTTACCTAAGTCAGAATTATGAGATAAAAAGTCAAAATGTCAACTTACCTAAGTCAGAATTATGAGATAAAAAGTCAAAATGTCAACTTACCTAAGTCAGAATTATGAGATAAAAAGTCAAAATGTCAACTTACCTAAGTCAGAATTATGAGATAAAAAGTCAAAATGTCAACTTACCTAAGTCAGAATTATGAGATAAAAAGTCAAAATGTCAACTTACCTAAGTCAGAATTATGAGATAAAAAGTCAAAATGTCAACTTACCTAAGTCAGAATTATGAGATAAAAAGTCAAAATGTCAACTTACCTAAGTCAGAATTATGAGATAAAAAGTCAAAATGTCAACTTACCTAAGTCAGAATTATGAGATAAAAAGTCAAAATGTCAACTTACCTAAGTCAGAATTATGAGATAAAAAGTCAAAATGTCAACTTACCTAAGTCAGAATTATGAGATAAAAAGTCAAAATGTCAACTTACCTAAGTCAGAATTATGAGATAAAAAGTCAAAATGTCAACTTACCTAAGTCAGAATTATGAGATAAAAAGTCAAAATGTCAACTTACCTAAGTCAGAATTATGAGATAAAAAGTCAAAATGTCAACTTACCTAAGTCAGAATTATGAGATAAAAAGTCAAAATGTCAACTTACCTAAGTCAGAATTATGAGATAAAAAGTCAAAATGTCAACTTACCTAAGTCAGAATTATGAGATAAAAAGTCAAAATGTCAACTTACCTAAGTCAGAATTATGAGATAAAAAGTCAAAATGTCAACTTACCTAAGTCAGAATTATGAGATAAAAAGTCAAAATGTCAACTTACCTAAGTCAGAATTATGAGATAAAAAGTCAAAATGTCAACTTACCTAAGTCAGAATTATGAGATAAAAAGTCAAAATGTCAACTTACCTAAGTCAGAATTATGAGATAAAAAGTCAAAATGTCAACTTACCTAAGTCAGAATTATGAGATAAAAAGTCAAAATGTCAACTTACCTAAGTCAGAATTATGAGATAAAAAGTCAAAATGTCAACTTACCTAAGTCAGAATTATGAGATAAAAAGTCAAAATGTCAACTTACCTAAGTCAGAATTATGAGATAAAAAGTCAAAATGTCAACTTACCTAAGTCAGAATTATGAGATAAAAAGTCAAAATGTCAACTTACCTAAGTCAGAATTATGAGATAAAAAGTCAAAATGTCAACTTACCTAAGTCAGAATTATGAGATAAAAAGTCAAAATGTCAACTTACCTAAGTCAGAATTATGAGATAAAAAGTCAAAATGTCAACTTACCTAAGTCAGAATTATGAGATAAAAAGTCAAAATGTCAACTTACCTAAGTCAGAATTATGAGATAAAAAGTCAAAATGTCAACTTACCTAAGTCAGAATTATGAGATAAAAAGTCAAAATGTCAACTTACCTAAGTCAGAATTATGAGATAAAAAGTCAAAATGTCAACTTACCTAAGTCAGAATTATGAGATAAAAAGTCAAAATGTCAACTTACCTAAGTCAGAATTATGAGATAAAAAGTCAAAATGTCAACTTACCTAAGTCAGAATTATGAGATAAAAAGTCAAAATGTCAACTTACCTAAGTCAGAATTATGAGATAAAAAGTCAAAATGTCAACTTACCTAAGTCAGAATTATGAGATAAAAAGTCAAAATGTCAACTTACCTAAGTCAGAATTATGAGATAAAAAGTCAAAATGTCAACTTACCTAAGTCAGAATTATGAGATAAAAAGTCAAAATGTCAACTTACCTAAGTCAGAATTATGAGATAAAAAGTCAAAATGTCAACTTACCTAAGTCAGAATTATGAGATAAAAAGTCAAAATGTCAACTTACCTAAGTCAGAATTATGAGATAAAAAGTCAAAATGTCAACTTACCTAAGTCAGAATTATGAGATAAAAAGTCAAAATGTCAACTTACCTAAGTCAGAATTATGAGATAAAAAGTCAAAATGTCAACTTACCTAAGTCAGAATTATGAGATAAAAAGTCAAAATGTCAACTTACCTAAGTCAGAATTATGAGATAAAAAGTCAAAATGTCAACTTACCTAAGTCAGAATTATGAGATAAAAAGTCAAAATGTCAACTTACCTAAGTCAGAATTATGAGATAAAAAGTCAAAATGTCAACTTACCTAAGTCAGAATTATGAGATAAAAAGTCAAAATGTCAACTTACCTAAGTCAGAATTATGAGATAAAAAGTCAAAATGTCAACTTACCTAAGTCAGAATTATGAGATAAAAAGTCAAAATGTCAACTTACCTAAGTCAGAATTATGAGATAAAAAGTCAAAATGTCAACTTACCTAAGTCAGAATTATGAGATAAAAAGTCAAAATGTCAACTTACCTAAGTCAGAATTATGAGATAAAAAGTCAAAATGTCAACTTACCTAAGTCAGAATTATGAGATAAAAAGTCAAAATGTCAACTTACCTAAGTCAGAATTATGAGATAAAAAGTCAAAATGTCAACTTACCTAAGTCAGAATTATGAGATAAAAAGTCAAAATGTCAACTTACCTAAGTCAGAATTATGAGATAAAAAGTCAAAATGTCAACTTACCTAAGTCAGAATTATGAGATAAAAAGTCAAAATGTCAACTTACCTAAGTCAGAATTATGAGATAAAAAGTCAAAATGTCAACTTACCTAAGTCAGAATTATGAGATAAAAAGTCAAAATGTCAACTTACCTAAGTCAGAATTATGAGATAAAAAGTCAAAATGTCAACTTACCTAAGTCAGAATTATGAGATAAAAAGTCAAAATGTCAACTTACCTAAGTCAGAATTATGAGATAAAAAGTCAAAATGTCAACTTACCTAAGTCAGAATTATGAGATAAAAAGTCAAAATGTCAACTTACCTAAGTCAGAATTATGAGATAAAAAGTCAAAATGTCAACTTACCTAAGTCAGAATTATGAGATAAAAAGTCAAAATGTCAACTTACCTAAGTCAGAATTATGAGATAAAAAGTCAAAATGTCAACTTACCTAAGTCAGAATTATGAGATAAAAAGTCAAAATGTCAACTTACCTAAGTCAGAATTATGAGATAAAAAGTCAAAATGTCAACTTACCTAAGTCAGAATTATGAGATAAAAAGTCAAAATGTCAACTTACCTAAGTCAGAATTATGAGATAAAAAGTCAAAATGTCAACTTACCTAAGTCAGAATTATGAGATAAAAAGTCAAAATGTCAACTTACCTAAGTCAGAATTATGAGATAAAAAGTCAAAATGTCAACTTACCTAAGTCAGAATTATGAGATAAAAAGTCAAAATGTCAACTTACCTAAGTCAGAATTATGAGATAAAAAGTCAAAATGTCAACTTACCTAAGTCAGAATTATGAGATAAAAAGTCAAAATGTCAACTTACCTAAGTCAGAATTATGAGATAAAAAGTCAAAATGTCAACTTACCTAAGTCAGAATTATGAGATAAAAAGTCAAAATGTCAACTTACCTAAGTCAGAATTATGAGATAAAAAGTCAAAATGTCAACTTACCTAAGTCAGAATTATGAGATAAAAAGTCAAAATGTCAACTTACCTAAGTCAGAATTATGAGATAAAAAGTCAAAATGTCAACTTACCTAAGTCAGAATTATGAGATAAAAAGTCAAAATGTCAACTTACCTAAGTCAGAATTATGAGATAAAAAGTCAAAATGTCAACTTACCTAAGTCAGAATTATGAGATAAAAAGTCAAAATGTCAACTTACCTAAGTCAGAATTATGAGATAAAAAGTCAAAATGTCAACTTACCTAAGTCAGAATTATGAGATAAAAAGTCAAAATGTCAACTTACCTAAGTCAGAATTATGAGATAAAA